CATGGCTGCGGATGCTGCGGATGCTCTCCTCCCGCACCGCATCCCCGGACCATGCCTCCTGCTCCTCCTGATCGCATCCGCTCTCCCCACACCGAGCCACGGGCTGCTGGGCTTCCGACCGGAGGACACGGGAGGAGATCTATCCGTGCAGGACGGGCTGCTGAAGGCCACCGAAGGGACGCGGTTCATGTTACGCGTGTACTATGCAGCATCTCCGCAGAGGCTCAACCGGACCGTCAGCAGCGCCGGTGGCACAGCCGCGCCGTGGATCGCTTTCATAGAAGAACCGGAGCCGGGCAGAGAGGGGCAGGTGCATCCCAAACGCAACTTGTGCGTGGAGGAGAGCGCCAGGAGCTCTGATATAGAGCTCCTCGGATCTTTTAAGTCAGCCTCCAGCCAGAACTCCATCCTGGTGGAGCTGGTCGCCAAAGACTTGCGGAGAGGAGAGAACATCAAGTATTATTCCATGTGCGCCTTTGACGGGATCAAATGGGAGCACTATCGGACGCGCGACTTCTGGCTGGCGGTGGTGGAGCGGCCGCCGCATACGGACGGGTGGCTGCAGGCGGGACTGTCGGTGCTGCTTCTGGCGCTTTCCGCGCTCTTCAGCGGGCTGGTGATCAGCATGCTCGCGCTGGACCCGGTGGAGCTCAAAGTGCTGCAGAACAGCGGCACAGACAAGGAGCAAAAGTACGCGCACAAGATCGAATCGGTGCGCAAACACGGCAACTACGTCCTGTGCACCTTGGTGCTGTGCAACGTGCTTACCAACACTTTCCTGGTGGTCTGGATGTGCCAGATCCTCGGAGCAACGCCCGTCTCCACTGCGGCGTGCACTTTTCTCATCTTCTTCATCGGAGAGATCCTGCCGCACTCCGTTGCGTCCAGGCACGGGCTGGCTATCGCGTCCAAGACCGCATGGTTAACCAAGATGCTGATGCTGCTGACTTTCCCCATTACATATCCTATCAGCAAACTCCTAGACAATATGCTGCACCAGGAAATCAGCAACTTCTACACCCGTGAGAAGCTACTGGCTATGCTGAGAGTTACCGACCCATATCATGACCTGGTGAAAGAGGAGCTGAACATCATCCAGGGAGCTCTGGAACTCAGGAGCAAAACGGTGGAAGATGTGCTGACCCCTCTCAATGACTGCTTCATGCTGGCCTCGGATGCCATTCTGGACTTCTACACCATGTCAGATGTAATGCAGAGCGGATACACTCGCATTCCTGTGTTTGAGAACGAACGGTCTAATATTGTCGATATACTTTTCGTCAAAGATCTGGCCTTTGTTGATCCAGATGACTGCACGTCGTTAAAAACCATCACACAGTTCTACAAGCACCCGCTGCACTGTGTCTTTAACGACACCAAACTGGATGCAATGCTGGAGCAATTCAAGAAAGGTAAGATGTTTGTAGGACTCCAGTTGTGTAAAGTTACAACAAATGATAGAGAATGAGAAGAAAACCCGTTTAAAATCAGTGCGAAAACAAAAATCATTTCTCACCCTCATTTCGTTCCAAACCTGTATGCATTTCTTTCTTCTGTGTAACAAAAGTATATTTTAATATCATGTTAATAAAACATTGGACTTCATTAACTTTAATTTGTATGGATGAAAAAACACACACACTATAGAGACATTTCAAAATATCTTATTTTGCATTCCACACAGAAAAAAGATGTGCATACAATTAAGAATGGAAAAACA